TGCTTATTTGAAGCCCAATTCGTGGTTATTAGGTTTAGGCCTTAGGGTGTTAATTTCCTATTCTGACTAGGATTTGTTTTCTCTATTTAAAGGGCTTGTAACCCTAATGGGGGAGAATTATTGAATCTGAGTTTTTGAGAGACTTTTCTCTTTGGTTCGTTTCAGAACTTTACAGAACTTATCAAGATTATTCTTGTGGCGTTCTAACCTGACTTATCATTCTCGTTCTTAATTGTTCGGGGGTGTGGCGTCAACCAACTTTATACCTTTGATTCTTGTTGCGTCATAGACAACGGGTCAAGGTTTTTTTTACCTTTGGTTCTTGTTGCGACATAAACAACGGGTCAAGGTCCTATCATAAACCTGATTTAGCTTTCCTGGAGTTTACAAATCCCTTGTCGTGCTGTGGGTCTCATTGTTCTCTTTGGGGTTCTCATCAAAAAGTCTCTCAAAATCTCAGATTCAATAATCCTCCCTCCCCATTAGGATTACAAGCCTTTTAAATAGAGAAAACAAATCCTAATCAGAATAGGAAACTAACACCCTAAGTCCTAAACCTAATAACCACGAATTGGGCTTCGAATAAGTGAATGTTTAGCCCAAAAATAGTATAAAAAACGTGAAATCACCAAAATAACCTAAAATAACACAAAATATCAGTTTGCTACAAATTGCGGCAGAATTGTGCGATTTTGACGCAAACTGTGTAATTTTGCGCAAATGACCACAACTAAACTTCTCTTGAACCTGAATGATGTTTACCATGCCTTGATAATCATCCAAGCTTCGATTTGCTTGTTGTATGTTGTTATCAACCCAGATCTGCTCAATAAGGCCATTTACAGCTTCTCGCATCTTCTTAGCTCTAGCTCTTGTGTGACTGGACCTCCTGAAATATGTAATGGATCTCTTGACGTGGTACCTGTGGGGTCATCTTGATTCCCATCATTGGGGTCATCTTGATTCTCATCAAACACCCTAAGCCCTAATCATAATAACCACGAATTGGGCCTTAAATAAATGAATGTTCAGCCCAAAATAATATAAAAAACGTGAAAATCACTAAAAGTAGCCTAAAATAACATGAAATATCAGTTTGTTACAAATTGCGACAGAATTGCGAGATTGACGCAAATTGTGTAATTTAGCACAAATGACCTCAATTAAGCTTCTCTTGAACCTGAATGATGTTTATCATGCCTTGATAATCATCCAAGTTTCGATTTGTTTGTTGTATGTTGTTTTCAACCCAGATCTGCTCAATAAGGTCATTTAAAGCTTGACGCATCTTCTTAGCTCTAGCTCGCGTGACTGGACCTCCTTGGGTGTGTAATTGGTCACATGATGTGGTAGATATGCTGTCGTCTTGATTCCCATCAGACCCACAGCACGACAAGGGATTTCTAAACTCCAGGAAAGCTAAATCAGGTTTATAATAGGACCTTGTCCCGTTGTTTATGTCGCAACAAAAACCAAAGGTAAAAACCTTGACCCGTTGTCTATGATGCAACAAGAACCAGAGGTATAAAGTTGGTTGATGCCACACCCTTGAACGATTAAGAACGAGAATGATAAGTCAGGTTAGAACGCCATAAGAATAATCTTGATAAGTTCTGTAAAGTTCTGAAACGAACTAAAGAGAAAAGTCTCAAAATCTCAAATTCAATAGCCTTTCTCAATTAGGGTTACAAGCCCCTTTAAATAGGGAAAAGTAATTCTAATCAGAATAGGAAACTAACACCTTAAGCCCTAATCAGAATAACCATGAATTGGGCCTTAAATAAATGAATGTTCAGCCCAAAATAATATAAAAAATGTGAAAATCACTAAAAGTAGCCTAAAGTAACATGAAATATCAGTTTGTTACAAATTGCAACAGAATTGTGAGATTGATGCAAACTGTGTAATTTAGCATAGATGACCTCAATTCAGCTTTTCTTGAACCTGAATGATGTTTATCATGCCTTGATAATCATCCAAGCTTCGATTTGCTTGTTGTATGTTGTTTTCAACCCAGATCTGCTCAATAAGGCCATTTAAAGTTTCACACATCTTCTTAGCTCTAGCTCGCGTGACTGGATCTGTTTGGGTGTGTAATGGATCACATGACGTGGTAGATATGCTGTCGTCTTGATTCCCATCATTCCCTCTCTCCTCAAAAGGATTTGTCCTCAAATTGTCACCTACATCAAAAGGAGAAAGATCAGAAACATTAAAAGTAGCACTAACATTATACTCACCAGGAAGCTCCAACTTATATGCGTTGTCATTAATCCTCGCAATCACTTGAAATGGTCCATCGCCTCTTGGTTGCAGCTTAGAATGCCTTTGTGCAGGGAATCGCTCTTTGCGCATATGCACCCAAACCCAATCTCCAGGTTCAAATACAACTTTCTTGCGTTCTTTGTTGGCTTGTTTTGCATATTGCTCAGTTCGTCGCTCTATGTTTTGTCGCACCCTCTCATGCAGTTGCTTAACCACTTTAGCTTTCTTTTTCCCATCCAAACTAGCTTGTTCGTCAATAGCTAAAGGCTATTAATCTAAAGGAGTGAGTGGATTAAAACCATACACAACTTCAAATGGCGAATAGTTAGTTGCTGAATGGACGCTCCGATTATAAGCAAATTCAACGTGCGGCAAACACTCTTCCCAGTTCTTCAAGTTCTTTTGAATAATAGAACGCAATAAGGTTGACAACGTCCTATTAACCACTTTTGTTTGTCCATCAGTTTGTGGATGACAAGTAGTCGAAAACAGTAGCTTAGTTCCCAGCTTTCCCCACAATGTCTTCCAAAAGTAACTCAAGAACTTGACATCGCGATCAGAAACGATAGTCCTTGGAATGCCATGTAAACGAACAACGTCCTTGAAGAATATTGATCCACAATATTGGTTGCATCGTTAGTTTTATGACATGGAATGAAGTGTTCCATCTTCGAGAACCTACGAGATAATGCATCAGCCACAATATTTTCCTTTCCTTGCTTATACTTGATCATATAGGGAAACGTCTCAAGGAATTCCACCCGCTTAGCATGTCGTCTATTCAACTTACCTTGTCCCTTCAGGTGCTTCAACGACTCATGATCAGTATGTATCACGAACTCCTTAGGCCAAAGATAATG